CAGGACCAAACAAAACACCTGGGTTTAAATCTTAAAGTGAACCTATTATGCTATATTGGAAACATATATTGTAGGGCCATACCTATACACAACATGTCAGAAGTTTTTTGCTTCAAATACCAAACAGTTCCCTCATTGTAGCCATGCCTCATACTGCTCATACCCCTCTTTTGCAGCTCTGTTAGGAAACGCGGATTTTGGGTCCTTAGCTTGAAAAAAAAAAAAAGAGGAGGCGGAGCTAATGCCTGATCAGAATGCCACCGGAGATAAAGTTAAATTCTGCTGTGATAAAACGCCATCCTGTTCTAAACCACATCAAGGATTATTTCTGAAACAGTATGGAGCTCAAATGCTTTTTCTCTTGCAGGTTTATCACAAGGTGAGTTCCTTTTTTTATTTCCTGCTTTTTAAAAACACATGTGCTCTCCAGTACAGGTTAGCTCTGAGTGTTAGAGAGGCTTGCTAATGTAAACAAAGACGAGATTACGTCCAAAACACGTCAGGCATCGTTTTTGATGGCAACTCTCTGTGGGTCCACCATCCAAAGTTACGTAATATTGGCAGCAAATCTGGATCCGCTCGTTGTTCCCCCGTTTTTAAAAGATGTGGGTACGGAGGAAAAGAGAGAGGGTTTTATTTTCTGACGCTGCGTGAGTTCCCCGACACACTGAGACACATCTATGTATACAAGACATCAAAAAGTGCATTTTGCATGATAGGTCCCCTTTATATTTAAAATGTTTCGGTGTCGTTTTTGAATGATATCATGATGGGGTATGAGAGGAGTTCTATCCAAATGGTAGTTTTAAATAAAATCAATAACAGAGCTCGGGGAGGGGGTAATATTTGAAGAAAAAAATATTTCCACGATAAAAATCAAGTAAAACAATTGGATAGTTTCTTAGAGATTTAAAAAGTTGGATTTAACTCACAGATTCTGTGCATTTTAAGTCACAATTCATGATGAGGTTGATCTAACCACGCATAGTGAAGCAATTAGGTTACTTCACAACTAAAACAACAAATAATACAGGTTTTTATCCTGGACATACACTTTGCAGTTTTTACTGAAAATATTACCCAACCTTGACTGTTAACTTGTCCGGTTACATTGTCGTAGCGTCACGTAAAACATTATAAAAAAACTTCTAAAGAAGTCAATAATAAAAAAAAAAAATTCAGTCTTCAATTATTTAAAATCAGCAACCATTGAAGTCGACATCGTTATGTTTCTGAAAATATGACGGAACTATTTGTGTCACGACGGAGAAAGTGGACTGATTTCGTAAAACCTCATAGGCCAGATTTTATTTTTACAAGCGTATGATTTTACTGTGAAGTCCTGATCACTTCCTAATGTTGGTATTGTTCGTACTACTGTTTTATCTTTGAGTAAAAAAAGAAAAAAGGCATTTCGGACAGACAAATTTAAGATGTACAATTACTATGTCTTGAAAAACACTAATTGTTTGCTGCCAAATGTCAATAAAAAATATATTACAAAAAATAAAATATGTTTGAAACTGTTGACACACAGATGTTCACCTTGGCTGCGGCGCTCATGCTGTTGCCGTGCAGCGCGCCGAGGCTCAGCAAGGCGCTCACTTCCTGTTCCTCCTCGTTCTCATAGCCGTCGAAGCGAACGCAGCAGCGCTCACCTTTGACCCAAAGGACCACAGCCGGGTAGACCATACTGTCCTCCGAGTAAACGGCCCGACATCGAGAGCCAGGTTTCCAGTCCTGTAAAGAGACGGCAACACGGTGTATACAGATTAAACTATTTTTTATATTACGGCTCAAATGTGTTTAGATAGATAGATATTATTAATCCCAAATTGTGAAAGTAGAGTGGAGACTCAGATATTGCACGTGTCTTAAAATCTATACTGCCATACAACCTATAAAAAGGTATCTTAACATGTAATATGAATTAATAAAAGATTGTAAAATATTCAGTTATTATTAAATGGGTTTGTTAAAAGGTCAAGTACCAAACAAATAAACTCTTAATGCCACCATGAGCCGACTATATTTCTTTCAATTAAGGCTCAAATGTGTCTTTGTTGCCGAGGAAATGTTGCCGTCAGTTTGTCAGAAAATATTAAACTATGTAAAATAACCTTAAATAGAACAGAGAGAAAATCCCTAATATTTCCCAGGCTTGATTGGAAAATAAAAAATGCTAGCTTTCATACGCACCAGAGCTTTCGACTCGATCCAATGGTCTTCTTCATCCAATGGAGGTTTCTGGCGTCATAATTAAGATAAGTTTGAGTTGCAGCAGCAGCTTGAAAAGACATGGCATTGTACAATACAAATCTAAAGAAATAAACATTTCAAAATGTAAACATCTCAATATAAATAAAATAGCATTAAAAAAAAGTAGAAAATATACATGTTGACATTACAAATTTACAGTAACAAATTGTGAGAAGTTCAGTAACAGTGTGTTGAAATGTACGTGTAAAGTTATACACATTATCCATGTTACCAGGCAATTTTCTATCGGTGTCTGAGGAGCATCGTCGGGCGCTTGGAGCTCGCTCAATGCCAAGTCCTTATAGTTGCCGTAGTCGTTGAAGCGGACTCTGCAGCGTTCTCCGTACAGAGAAACCACGATCGCCGGGTACACCGTCCTGTCCTCCGACCACACTGCCCGACACGCAGCGCCAAGCGCCCACTGACACACAAAGAGCTCTTTAGTTATCGATCATCAGTTCATTTCTCAAGGTGCTACCTAGTTATACTAGATGGCAAGAAAATATCAGAGTCTAACCAATCATACCAGGGCTTTTTCTAGGAGAATATATATGAGGGCAATACTGGGGCGCTGAGCTTGTATATAAGATATATAAATTCTCGCGAGAACATGACGCCCGTATACAAGATGGCGCTGCAGATGTAAA